ATGGTAACATAACAATAGAGCCCAGAGGTGATGTGGCCAGTATGGCTTGGCAATGATGTGGCAGAAGGTGCCCATCAAGTGATGATGTAATAGTGGAGCTTAATAATTTAGTTTGTATTTTTTAGAGATGGATTTAAAGACAAACATTTAATAGAGGATTTTATAGAAATAGATTTTTTTTATGAAGATTAGATATGACAATTTTTATTAGAGATAAATCCATCTTTACTTAGAGAGGGTTTAAAAAATATGTCTCTAATTATTTAGTAATGTCTCTTTTTGAGACATCGTGATATTCACCTCAAAATTTACTTCTACATGTTTAGAGATAGATTTTTCACTAATTGACGACATATTATTAGTCATCTCTAAATAACATCTTTTTGTAGTGAAAGAAGTTGCAATGCTTAACTAATTCAAAGTCTATTATCTATTTTTTAATTTGCTTATTTTTATCACTTAATTTCTTTTTGTGTGTGTGATGTGCCTAATCTTGTTTGTCTTTATGCAGTTACTATTTCCTTAAAATAATGTTAAAGAATATTTTTATCCTTTAACTATTTGTACAGGAACATCTGATATCCTAAATTTTTTGTTGTGCAATATTCTCTTAAACAAATAAAAATGATAAAACATTATTTTTATTGTTAACAAAAGTTAATTTTGACTAATAGTGAATTCAAAAAATTATAGATAAAAATCCAAAAGTTATAAAAAAACTCAAAAAATTACAAATAAGTATAAGAAAATTAATGATGATTAAATATCCTAAATTAAAAATAAATATGAAGAGAAAAATGTTATTTCTTACCATGTAAATTATCAAAATACCATTTTAAGTTTGACTGACTACTTTGATAGGCTACCGAATAATTATTAAATCATCATTATTAGTAACAAAACTTGTAATTAATTAAAAAAAATATTAAAAATTAATTTTACTTTTAAATTATTTTGTGAGAAATATCTGATATTCTTATTATGAAGTGATGCAAAATAATTTATGAACAAATTAGATGGAACACCCAGCACCTACTAGTTTTCCTAAACCAACGGACTTTTGTTCCATATTGTGGGGTCCGCACAAAATTAACAGGCCGCAGGCTATTGGACATGTGGACTTCTTCTGTTGGCCTTCTCTATTATAATCTTTTTGTTTCTAATCTCTTCTCTAGCGAAGGCACCGAGCAAGTGAGACTGAAATCTAAAGAAGTTCTCTAATCACACACCTCTTGGATGAATCTGATTTTGACTTCTCTAGCAAATATTGGTGATGGTGAGGAATCAAGGTCAGAAGAGCATTTTAGCGACTCTTTGGACAAGATTCATGGTGTATCCTTGCACCAAAAGTCAGAGTCTTGGAAATAGTCATCGAAGTAGGAAACAAACATGATGATCGGCATCTCCGCCAAAGGAGAATATATTCCATAATTTTAAAAATTCATGTAAATAATTTGTTTTAAAATAGTAAAAAGAAATGCATTTTGAAACATTATACATGGTGAAAATATACCAAATGAGGCAAGACATTGACTAAACAGGCGTAGCCTCTTTATTTAAATAGACCTATATATTATAAGCTTAAGTGAAGTTTTTTTGTTAAACAAGTTAGGCCAAAATTTAAACAAGTCATGCAATCATGCATGTTTAAGTAAATAGGCTAGGTCTATTTACTTGAAATTTGGCGTGTAAGCTTATTTGTTTATATTTGAATATTAAATTTATATGAGTAAATATTATTTATTCTCTTATATAAAAATAAATAAATCTATATATAATATATTATAATTAAATTAAATTAAATTTTATTAAAATATTAAAATAAATAAATAAGCCTATAGAGACGTACAACTTAACCAGTTTAACAAAAAGGTCAAGCTTAAACTTATAATTAAGTTTATTTATATAAATAGATTAGGCTTGTTTAGCTAAGATTTGTCAAGTATTCGGCCTAGATTAGTCTGTATGTGGAGATTGATCGCACCTATGCACATTACACCTCTTAACAATGGTTATTTTATTGTTTCTTTCATGAAGGAGAAAGACTTAAATTATGCCTATCATGAAGGACCTTGGATGATTGATGATCACTATTTATTGGTCCAAAAATGGCGAGCGAACTTTAACTCATGGAAAGCAAAGAGATAGCGTAAGATTGTGGCTTGGATTCAGGTGACAGACCTTCCCCTGGAATGGTATAATGTGGAATCAATGTATCACTCTCAAATAAGGGAGGTTTTGTTAGAATGTGTGTTGAGCTTGATCTTAGTCAACCATTACTTCCACCATTCACTTGGTATGGTGAGGAATATAAGATAGCTTATGAAGGTTTTCACATCGTTTGCTTTCATTGTGGCAAACATGGCCATAATAGAGAAATTGGTTGACTAAAGTTTGATAGTGATAAATAAAAATATTGGCTTATTGCAAGCTAAAATGGCGAAGGTGCAAGGATCGGAGAATCAGGTTTCATCTTCAAAGGGGATTGAGAACATAAACGTAGCTGCCAGAGACAGTGTTGATAGTGAGTGGCTTCGGGCCTGAGATGCTGATTAAGCTTGATTTTAGAGGGAGAATTATGAAGTAGGATACTAGAGGATCTCCTATTATTTTGGGAAAGATTGGAGAGAGAGATAAGGTGAAAAATATGTATAGAATAGTCGAGAGTTCAGTTTCAGTTGCCGAGCATCACCATCTAAAAAATTTGAATGGTATAGATTTTATAAAATTTATTTTTTATTTTTATTTTATATTTTTTATAAAAATTATAAAATTTAATAAATTTATTTTATCATCAATTTAAACAATACAAATTTAATTTGTGTAGTCTAATTTAATATTCATTTTTTAAAAAAATTTATAAATTGACCATCTAGGTGTACTCTAAACAGACTAGATCTATAGTACATCTAAATGATCAATTTATAAATTTTTAAAAAAATTAATATTAAATTGAATCACTCTAATTAAATATGTATTATCTAAATTCATGATAAAGTATATTTATTAAAATTTTATATTTTATAATTTAATAAATATATATTAAAATATAAAAATAAAACTAATAAATCTAAACAATTTAAATTACTCATCAGGTGATGAGCACGATGGTGATGAGCGTCAAAATCGATTGCAACAGCTGAGAGTAAAAATATTGACAGTACACATGGGGGTTATAAAAATGTCTTTGGTGAGTTGCATGGCTTCTAATACTTTGGGAAAGAATTATCTAATCAAAAGATATCAAAGTGGGTCCCAATGGGTGAAAAAATGAAGGGTCGTTCAAAAATTAAAACAAAAGTTGAGGAGAATATTCCTCCAAGTAGGAGAAGGGTTTTGTCACGTAAAAAGCAAAGTGAAGGAGTATTATCAAATACTATTAATATTCATAATTCTTTCTCTATTTTGAAGAGTGGGCTGCCACAAGAGAATAGGCCTAGAGAGTATCAAAAAATAAAGAATTAAAAGTTATTTTTAAAAATTATTTTTATTTTAAAACTATACATAAAAGATCACAAATGCCGTTAAATTTAATTATAAGTTAAATAAATTACCAGATGCATTTACTGACCTTAAAAGAATTATCAAGTCTCATATTTCAGCTAAAAATATTCTTATTAGAATTGATATTCTAGTAAGACAATTAGAAGTGCAAATGAATCTATATCACATTTGAAGCGTGGTAGGCCAATTAGTATCAAAGATAAAAATCTTAGAAAAAAAATGATAACAAAATAAAGATGGCATAGTTGAGGATAGGGCTGTAAAGTAATCCTCCAATCCTATTTGACTAATCTGATCTAAGAAAGTTTGATCCTATTAAAAACTGATCCTTTAGGATTGAAAAGATTAAAAAGGTCAGATTGTTTCTTCAGGTTAGACTGAACAGAAGACTGGGCATTTAGATCACTTGGTCTAGTCTTATCTTGTTAAATTTATTTAGTATGATTGTAATTAATTTACTAATTATTTATAATAATAAATTAAGACTATTAATAATTTAGTAAGTCTGGTTCCCCACACAATCGCACACTCAAACTAATTACTTAATAATCTAGATCACTTGGATTGCAATTGAAACTCTTTTTTTTATTGTTGGGAATTATTATGAATTTATTATGATTATAAGTATTTTTATTATTTTAATTGAGTTTATTAAGTTGAAATGGATTATTGCCTCTTATGGAGGAAAAAAAAAAGGTTAAGTAATGGGCTAGTCTCCCAATCCTATGAATTAAGTTCGGTCCTGTTAATTTTTAAGTTGTCATTGGACCAAACCAAGCTATTGATTGTCTAACTTAATCCTTTTCATAAAAAAGACCAAACTTCAGGTTAGGTCAAAGTATAGTCTCATCTACTCCTTTGTGCAATCCTACTTGAGGAGGTTAGTATTATATAAGAGTGCAAAGATATAACCAATCAAAAGACTCAAGAAGAGGTCTAGGTACTTAAAGATAATGAAGAGATCTTAATAAGTTATGTTACTATGAAAAAAAAAGATGAAATTGAAAAAATATAATCATTGATGACATATTTTCACATAATGTTGATGTGAAAATAATGAATCAAAATAAGAATTTAAAATCAAAATTGATTGAAGAATGTATACATACAAATGATTGGCCAAAATGAAAAGAATGCAATTTAAGCAAAGTTAAATTCACTTTCAAAACATGAAGTTTTTGGATCTATAATCTAAATACTTAATAATATAAAGCCAGTTGGATATAAATAGGTATTTGTGTAAAATGAAATGAGAAAAATGAAATTATTAAATATAAAGCTCCATTAATAGCACAAAAATTTTTGCAAAAATTTAGTATTAATTATGAAGAGACATATTTTTCCATAATACATACAATTATGTTAAGATATTTAATTAATTAGACAGTACACAACAAATTTAATGTGCGCCTAATAAATTATGTATATTAGTAAATAAGAATTTCTCTCTATTATTTTCTTTTCATTTTTTATATTGTCTGAGCTGAGCGCGCGAGCCTTGGAGTCTTGGACGTTGAGGGATTCTTCCGAGGAATTAGGACGCTGAGAGGATCCGGATCCACCCCACCCTCCTTTTATCATCCTTCGATCTCCACCCGTCGAGCAGTGTCTCTGTGTCTGGTTCTCTGTCGAAACCGCTGGGCGAGTCAGAGTGTCTGGTTCTCTGCTCTGAGCGTCTCCGTCCGTCCGTCGTTTGGGCTCAGTTTTGGTTCTCGCACTATCGCCGTCGCCTCTCGATGTCTCGCACTTAGCTCGCGATCGAAGAGACGAAGACCTTCTTCCTTCTTTGGCCTTTGCTCCGTTCAGAAATCAGAACTTCTCTCGTCTCCTCCCACGCCACACTTTGTTCAGACTTCAGAACTTTAGGCGCAGGAAGAACCACCGATTCTTCCTCTCTGTAAATTTCTACCGAAAGTTTTCTGGGCTTTGATAATCTTTATCCACATATATTTTCATCTCCTCTGCCTACCACCTCCAGAGCTTCACGCTCTCCGATGCTAGAAATTTCGGTCCTCGTAATTTGGAAAATCTAGGGTTTCTGTTTCGGCATTTCGCCTGCTATGGACCTTCCCTTGCTGAGGAAGGGTTTAAATTTCTCTCGCCGGAACAAGAATTGGCTTATTTTACTTGCTGTTTTTGGAGCCTCCGGTTATGGAGCTTGCAGGGTCTATCACTTGCCCTCTGTTTCGAGGAGGAGGAAACGGTTGATGAAGCTCTTGGGAGCCTTAATTTCTCTTGCTGAAATGGTTTCCGATTCTGCTGACACGATTGCCATTGTGTCCAGGGACATGAAGGAGTACTTGAATTCTGATTCCGATGAAATTCCTAATAGTTTGAAGCAAATTTCCAAAATTGCGAGATCGGAGGAGTTCTCTGCATCGTTGTCCAGGGTTACAGAGGCATTGCTTGTTGGGATGCTGCGTGGATATGACTCCCACAAGAGAAATGATCCTAACTCGGAGGTGGCTACGGCTAGTTCCAGCTTTTCGGATAGGGTATTGGAGAGGCTTTTCTCCAAGGCTGGAACTGGTTTCGTCTCTGTTGTCGTGGGTAGCTTTGCGAGGAATTTGATTTTGGGCTTTTACTCAAATGGTGGATCGATCGATAACTACAATAAGGGGGCTTCGTCGAAGTCGTCGGATGTCCCTGGATTGGTTAATGTGATTTGCAATGACAAATGTAGACAGGTAATGGGAGATTGTGTACAAATCTTCGTGAGCACCGCGGTTGCGGTTTTTCTTGACAAGACCATGGATGTCAACACTTATGATGAATTTTTTACTGGACTGACCAATTCGAAGCACCAGGACAAGGTCAGGGACATTTTGGTTTCTCTGTGTAACGGTGCTGTAGAAACATTCGTAAGAACGTCTCACGAAGTATTGACAAATCCAAGCGTAAAATCAAATCCACGTTCTTCCTCGTCTCCTGTCGTTCCAACCTCAACAGAAGATGGATGCTTGAAGCCTGAAGCATATTTTCAGCAAATTAGAATTGGAAGCTCTACGAGCGGAGTTCAGGATAATGGTTGGCTTGAACAGATTTCATCAACACTGTTAATACCAGCGAACCGAAGATTTGTGCTTGATGTGACAGGAAGAGTGACATTCGAAACGCTTAGATCGTTCGTGGAGTTTCTATTATGGAGGATAAGTGATGGCATGAAAAGAAGTCTGGGTAAAGTTCATGATGAGGCTGTTGGCAAAGGATTGGCACTTGTCAGATATGTCGGCGCCAAATCATCCGTTATTCTTACAATGTGTCTTGCAATGTATTTACATATTCTTGGTGGTAGTAGGATTGCCATGTCAGCCTAGTTTGATGGTTATTTCAAACCCATAAAAAAAAAATAAATAGTACTTTTAGAATCTAGGGACAACAAGTAGATGTTAAACGCCTATATTCTTTCCAAGCATTTAAAAGTCTTGCAATGTATTTAGATATTCTTGGTGGTGGTAGGATTGACATGTCAGCCTAGTTTGATGATTATTTCAAACCCATAAAAAAAATAAATAGTACTTTTAGAATCTAGGGACAAGTTGATGTTAAACGCCTATATTCTTTCCAAGCATTTAAAATGGACCTCATATTGTGTTAAAACGCTTGGCTATAATGTTTAATTATCTTCTTTGCTATACTGAAAATATGAAATGTTTTTGACTGGTGTTTGGTGCTCTTCATTTGTTAATTTCTGTTCATTCTGATGCGTGTATGCAACAATCTTTTGTTGAATTCAATGTCTTATTGTACAAAAATTTGGGTCAATCTCTGTAACGTGTACAGGAAAGCCCAAAGATAACTACGCAACCAGCTCTATAATTGTTAGTTTATAGACAATCCTTTTTGTAGCTCTATATATAAAATGATTTTATTGCCCTACAACAGTTTGTGAACACAGGACAAAAAATTTTACCTTGCCTTGTAATATTTATTTTCTTCCTCCACAAGAAAACTCAGTTTTGATATGAAGTATTCTTTGATTTTTGCAATCATATGGCTTAGGAAACGATTGACTGTATGCCTTTTAGTTTGGGATTCTTCAACACAGACTACCCTAAGTGCCAAGTGCCAAGTGCCGGCTATTTTTACATCTTGCTTCTTTGAGTAGTTTGCTGCTGGGTTTTTATCAGACTAATTTTCTTGCAAACGTTGGTGAAGAGGTTGGATTCTTTCATATGCTCATCAACTTTAGAGTTTGGAGAATGGGGGTTGGGAATGAATCCATTATTTTCGTTAGCCGTTCCTGATTTTACACCAGTAGAAGGAACTTTCATTTCAATAACTTCATAATTTGCTTCCATAATGGATTGATTAGCATGACTCTTACCAAGCCGTTATGCTTGAAATTCTTTTAAATCATTGTTAATATATCTTAGTTATCACTGTTTCTAATATATCTTAACAATTTCTAGAACTCGAATTCCCCCATGCATTTATGGATTCCAAACAAAATAAAAAATCAACTTACACTCCCCCCCCCCCAAGCCCGACACAAAAAAAGGAGGAGAAGAAGAACATATATATTTGGTCAGAGGTAACAAGTTAAGATCTAACAAAATTAATTTCAAGATTTCATTAAATACCTAAACAATGAGGTCTATATCATTACACTAACACGTTCAATCAAGATATTTTTCTAGGCTGCTACTAAGCTAACGTACAAGGGCTCACAAGCATGAAGCTCAATAACAACTCCCAGTTAGCAAGCAAGCAAGGGTCAAACATACAAGGCACAAGCTGCATAGTGTCAACCAGCTTTAGATGAGTCTCCTGACAATTGTGGCTGTAAGCTCTTCCTCAAGAATTCAGACATCCTTGCAGTGGCAGCACGCCCTCGTTCTAGGCAATGGAGATAATCGTCCACTTGAAACAATAACAAACAAAAAATTCACTCAGCTCAAGCATAAAAAATTAACGCAACTGATTTTTTTTTAAAGAAAAAAATCATGGGATTACATGTTGTATGCTTCAAGGATTCATTTGCTAGGTGAAGAGAAAAGATATGCGGGGGAAAAATGGAATCTAAGGGGTTGTTTTATTTTTCCCCGCACTTTTTATTTTAATACTATTTTGTAAACCATTTTTAAAAATTAGTTTTCAAAACAAGATAAAAAAAATAAAAAAATCTATCTGATTAGGTTCATTTAAAAACAAGTTTAGAGTTAAAAAATTAGCTAATAGTGGTGATCATCAATAGTTAATGGTGGTGAACTATGATAGTGGCTGGTCACAGCTGATAGCAATTTTCAATAATAAAATGTAATGTGCTTTAAAAGCTAAAAGAAAACAAAAACAGCTGAGATATTTTCTGAGAACAGTTTTGGAAACATTTAAATCCAAAACACTTATCTAAACAAGTTCTTTTTTTTTTTTAATAGCATAAAACAGTTTTTGAAAATAGAAAGAGGCCTAATTTGGATTCCACCTAAGTGCTTCCTGAACAACGGGATACATGTCTCGTTCTGGCTTTTAGAAACATGAAGATTTTCAAATGAATGGCTGAGTATAAAGCTTTGGTCAGAGGCCAACCAAGACGTATGATAGTCCAAAATCAAAGAGAGAGAATGACAAAGAAGGAAGGCAGATACCCGACATTGCACCATGGGTTACAGATGTAATGATTCCATGTTCCACAGGTTCCTTATCCACCTGCAATGATCCTCTAGGTAGAACCGAAACACATGTATTTGGGAAGACTAAATAGGCAAATGCTTTCATTTTCTGCCATTAAATATGAAATATTGAATTAGATTTATATACAAGGGGCACCAGCCCAGGAAACCCAGTTGTAAAATTCCAGAGATTGAGCAAGAGGGAAAAAAGTAGAAACAAGTCAAGACCATATATTTAGCTACCCAGTAATTAGTATGGTAAATTCTAAAGTAATAAAATTTAAGAAGGGAAACTGGAAAAGATTACTATGACCATGCTTGAGGTTTCAGTAAACTGCATTTTCATTCCTCACCCTAAAACTAAACATAATTTCCTCACTCTAAATTTTCATAACACAAATTCTGCCAATTTGCTGCGAACATTACTTTTAATGATTTCTGCACAAATTTTAGCAACACTTACCCTGAAACTATCGATGTATATCAATTTAAAAGGCAGTTTATAGGCATTGGCAAGGATCATTTGAATGGCAAATAATTGCTGACATCGATTTGCATAATTGTTTTTCTTTGAGAATGCACTTGATAAGATTCATAAAACACATCTGGATCCCCCCAAACCAACATCAGTAGTTAGAGCAGATATATTAATCGACAAAAGTAAACTAAGAAACAGTTACAAACCTTAGGTAAATGAAGACCGGACTTAGGTGAATTAACTCTGATTAAACATAATGTGCTATTCAATAATCAAATTTTTAACGGCAAAAGATGCTACAAACCTCCTCTTCAAGTTTGTTAGGGTCCAGTAGAACATAGCCACTGTCAGCTACAGAACAACATATTGCAACTGCAGAGACAAGCATGAGAAAATGAGATATTCACTATGCTTCAACAAATAAAATTACTAAAGTTAACCTGTAAAGAGTATGCCATGAGTTTCAATTACCAGCGAGATGTTTCAGTGGAATTCCTGCATCTACAAGGGCGGCACATGCAGCATTTATAGCACACGGAAGAAGCTACTTAATAAGTCAAGAGCAACAAAAAGATTTAGACCAGAAACAAATATATTAATTATTAAATGGGAAAACCTCACTTTAGATCTCTGTACTTTACTTGAGTTTTACTATAGGTCCTTACACTTTTTTTTTTTTTTATGTTCTCGTTCCCTACACTTTTGTTTTGCGATGTTCTAGGTCTCTTTTGTTTTTCAGTGTTCTAGGTTCCTATAAAACCGCTCATGGAGGATCCTAGAACATCGAAAAACAAAAGTATGGGAACCTAGAACACCGAAAAAAATGCAAAGATCTATAGCAAAACTTGAACAAAATACAGGAAACCAAAGTTATGTTTTCCCTTGTTAAATATTGTTCTCCTTCCCCCTTGTAATAATTAGATAAATAGTGTGTGCAGATATCTGATGGTTGTCCAATTTTGTCACTTCATTGGCAAATAAACCAAGGTAGGGTTGGCCACTCAAGAAAGTCACTAATCATCAAACTGAACTGAATGGTAAATATTGAACTTCAAGCACAAAAATCGTAGAAATGTATCATTAGTTGGAAGAGGGGGCAGAATGGATTAATCCTTCCTTTGTTGTCCATTTCTTTACCCAGAGCCTACTTCTCAAGAAGTAAAAAAGAAAACAGCTAAATGAAAATAAGTCATGACATGAAATAGAATGACATCGAGAGGGAGACCAAATTGCAACCAAGCATATATCTGATAAGCAAAAAGGATATTCAATAAGAGAATTCTACATTATAGTGAATGTTACAAGGGTTCCAAAGACGAACTCTGGTAGCTTTGCCCCAATAATTTCAAAACAGAAAATAATATTAGTCTTGGTCAGTCAGGGGAAACAGCTATATGGTCATGATGAAATTAACTTCTTGTAAAATAGACAGGATGAGTAAAATGACGGTTGAAAAAAGAACAAAATCTTTACAACATCTGACAAAGAGTTAAAGGAGAAGCAGTGCAAACATTAATTAGTAATGGTCACTAAAATTTTAATCGAAACCTGTATGGGTGAAGTGTAGCACAAGTTATACAGAAAGCTTTCTGTTGAAGTGTGTGATATAACAATCCAAAAGAAAAAAATCACCAACTGCATCATAATGTAATATATATATATATTGCAGTAGGATACAGCACCGTCATCATGGACAACCTGCAGTAGCAACAAATAATAATCAATCATGCCAAGTAACACACCAGATAATGCATTATTTGTGGATAATAGATAACTTCAAAATAACTTGCACATAAACAGAAGTTACAAAGAAAAGGAGGAAATGACATCTCATGTCAGGGAAACAAGTCTTTCGTTTTGTTTTGTTTTTTTTTTTTTCCTTTTCCTTGCCAACCATCAATGAAAGAAGTTGAAAGAACCAAGTTTGTTTCATAAAGATCGATAAACTCAATACAAACAACTAAATTACTGCTGTCGTATGCTAAAATTTTCATTAGAGATCCCTTATTTTCCAGCTGTAATATTAGAACAAATTGCATTATTCTGTCATGTCATTGAAATTGTGACATTTTATAGTTAGTTACATTCAGATTAGAGACATAGCCGTTGGGTGGTTATGAGGATTAGAAGATAAGGAAGTAGACTTCCCTTTCATTTGGGCCCCACTGCCTGTTAAAGCATTCTTGTATGGTGTCCAAGTGTTCTATAATCCCTAATCTGAATATAACTAACTAACTATAAAATGTCACAATTACAATGACATAACATATTCATTTCTGCTTAGATGCATGTACTAAGTAACTGTAAAGGATCAGAATATATTTAGATAGTTCTAGGTAACCAAAAACAGTTAACCCAAAATGTTGAGCCTTTTCAAATTTATTTGCAAACCAAGTGTTTGAAATCCAGGAACATGCTTGCAGATTCCATCAGCAAATTTAGAAGCATGTAAGAGAGACAGTAAACAATTATCCTACTCCCAGGGTAAAAGCAAAACTAACCTGAATAATAACTGAAGTCGTGGTGTTTGGGTACATGCTTCGAATGCAAATGCTTTCCAGAGATTTCTTTAATATCATCTCAGACTCCCTCTCCAATTTTCCTAAGCACAAGGAATGCAAATGCATTCAACCATTGACAAAAAATCAGAGGTGGTGTGAGGAGTCATTTTCCTCCAAACACAAGGAATATACTGTCAAAATATACAGAAGACGAAGACAGATCAAGCTTGGCCATGTTAAAGACGATGGAGTTGAGAAACAAACGTAAAAGTAAATATATATATATATATATATATATCAATTCTCACCAATCTGCCCTGTCTTAGGTTTCCATATTACTTCAATGCAAGCCTTTTCGGGATTTTCATTCTTCCTAGTTCCAGCTTTGGGTCCATAAACTGCCGCAAGAACCTTGGTCTCCCCTAAAAGATGGAATGAAATCCAAGATAAATATCTAAAATTCAACATCAATCTAATCTAAGCCCCAATGAAGCGGAATTTTTTTTTTTTTTAACAATGCGTATCATTGTTACTCAACCACGACAGTCATTCCTTATCCAAAATCGATTCTTTTTCCCTTCCCATATTAATCGAAGCATAAATGACCAATATCGTAAAAAAATATATAAATAAATGAAAGGCAGTCAGAGTACAACCCCAACTCGAAAGATGAAATGAAACTCCGACTTACATCAATAAGACAATAACAACATTAAGCTGAAAGAGTGATAGAAGAAGTAATTGTCAGGAAAAAAAAAAAAAAAAACCAAAGAAAACGAAAAAGAGTAAACGGAAGGTACGGGACAAGTATAGGGGAATAACCTTGAGTCCAGCTAGCTGAGCCATGAGCACGATTAAGGATGCCCCGAGAGCAAGCGAGGGGCCTCAATTGACTAGGCGAACGGCCATCAGGTCTATCAACTTCCATGGAAGACGAAGATACCTCACAGTCGCAAGGCGCGTGGCACCAAAATTTCAAGCGTGAGATATGGAGGGAAAAATAAAGAAGGAGAACCTTGAGTGTGTAAAGAGTCGCCTGACGAGCACCGGCGCGGCGGCGATCTCCCACTTCCAGGAGGAGCACAGCGAGGTACACAATGACGATTTGGGATTTTAGTTTTTACTTTCGATTTTTATGGGTTTAAGAAGGAAATATTGAAAAGAAAAGAGTCTTCTGAATAACGAAAATATTGGGAAGAAAAGAACAAATAATTATAAATTATAAAAGTATTTAAATGCAGGGTTTGAATTTTGATGATACAATTATCGAGGAAGTTTTATGTCAGGTATATTATTAACTTTTTTACCTGGGATAATGTCTTTTAAAAGTTGCATTTTTATTACTTACTACTTTTTAAAAAAATATCTTAAATTATTTATCATAACAATTTTATTTATAAAATAATTAAAATATAGCATATTTATTTTTTACATTAAATACCCCAACATCATTAAAAATGTTGATTGAAATTATTATGTTAAATGAATTCAAGTTAAAGTGTTTTTTTATTCTTAAATTATTATTTGAAGAGTACTTGATATCTTAAACTATTTGCATGGTAACAATTTTGTCTCTAAAGCAATGTTTTTAAAATCAGGCTAGATATTAACTCAAAAAAGTTAGCAATTCATGGTTTGCAAGTCGGTAACGTAATAATTAAATTAAAAAATTATATATATATATATATATATAATAATCTAAATATAAGAAATAAATATGAAATTGTTACTTAACTTAAAAATAAAATTAAATATTTTAAGTTTGTCATGACTTAACAAGCCACATAATATAACATAAGATCAAATGATTAAAAAAATTGATCATTTTCTAAAGAAAAATTTGATAAAAAATTAAAAAGAAAAAAAAGGACATTTTTTTGAACAGTTTGATTTTTTAAAATCAAATTCTATTTTCAACTTGATCTTAATTCTCGGTCTGATTGTCAATCCAAAACGATCTAATCTGACTCAATTTTTTAAATAGTTTTTTCAGTTTGACCGAACTGTTAGCTTGACCAATCAACGGTCTAACTTGTCTAACAGTTCGATTCGATTCAATTTTTTAATCATTGCTTTAATATAATTAAAATAGAGCAAAAATACACCTAACTTGTATTAACTTGGCATGACACATGTGATATTTTTGATCAAACTTAAGTTTTAAATAGCATTTTTAATAGTCAACATTAGGATATTTAACATCATGAGCAAATATACTATGTTTTTAATTATTTAAGGGATCAAATTGTTACAACAAATAGTTTAGAATATTAAGTGTTTTTCAAAGAATAGCTTAAAAGTAAAAATACACTTTAATCCTTTTAAAAATACAGTAATATTGTAATGTGTTAATGTTTGATCAACATTATCTGTTTGTTAATTTGCAGTAGAGGCGGCCTTGGCTACCAAAAAGACATATCATTGGCGAAAGGAATGTGCTTGTTTTCTCAAGACATGACTGAAGATGGATCCATAAAATATGCGATATCAACATAACTCGTGTTCTCTTGCTTGAAGACACATGAATAGATAATGTCGTGGTTGCTATCCACGTGAGACAGTGTAGCTTCACCATAATCAAAATTGATTGAGAAATGGTTCCTCTGCAAACAAAGAAGAAAGTCAGTGAACATATCCAAGAAAATATTCACATACTTACAAGTGAAAATTTATATATTGACAATTAAAAGTTTTGAATTTGACAAGTTCTATTTTCCACAATCAAATATTTAATATAAACAAAATGATGTTTATGTATTCACAATGTATGCATAATCTAATATTATTGATAGGGCATTTTCATGATAATGAACATCTCATGAATCCCTCAATTTATATGTAGAAATTCAATATAAATAAATAAACCATCATTATTTTACAACAAATAATTCACTTTAAAACTTTGACTACTAATTTAAAGAGTTCAACAACTAAGTTAGATTGTAGGGAGAATAATAATAAAGGACCACTGAAATGATTTAATATTAGAAAAAAACTTAGACAAATTGGATACTTGACTTGAACTTTCACTTGTTAATTGTTAATGTTTATTTGTTATAAATTCTTGTCTGATATTAAATTATTTTAGAGGTCCTTAATTAATATTCTTTCTAAATTATATCAGCAACCATTATCGATCATTTTAATAAATGAAGAGTTTCACTTAGCCCATCAAGCTCCTTCCTCTAACTAATTATTTCTTGTTTCAACAACATAGCTAAGTACAATGGGTAGAAAAATTTTACACTCAAATACTAGGCAAGATGGACACATTTCACAATTTACTCACCTCACAAGTTACTTCTCAGCATTGAAGCTGAGATCGCTTGAATCCATGGAGCTAAACCTTTGCGCATCTTCAGCTGTTTAGAATTCCAACTTCTTTTTCTTTCTCACTTGTTAAGGACAATTTAGTCTTTTCACAAAAAAGTTTGCATGTGGGGTTTCTGGGCTAGCATTAATTCAAACTTTATTGGGCCTTAGTCGCGGTTTTCTTGACTCTGGCAGGTTTAGGTTTGATTCTCCCAAGTATTTAAATACTTGGTTGAAAAAAATAAATACTTGGTTGAATGACAAATTCATCTATATTATTAACTTTTGTATTGGCACAAAGTTCTTTTAAAAGTTTCAAAAATAATGTAATATCATCCTGCATTAACATTTGATAATTTTGTCTCGAAAGAAAAACAATTGTATATCCTAAATTTTCGAGTAGCAAAGCACCCATTATCTGTTTGTTAACTTGAAGTCACGTCAATTTATTCCCTTATACCTTGACCAGTTAAGATTGGATTGCTCAAAGGCAAGTCTATGTAATAACAAAATCTAAATAACTAAAATATATTAATATAGAATAAAAAACATTCTCCACGCGATAGGGATAATCATGGATATATAATTATCAATGAAAAAAAAAAGAATCTAGAGACTAATCAATCATAATTTGCAATCGCAGAACAACTTGATAAAATTTTGAAATCTAAAAAATAAACTAGAGACTAATTATTTTAATTATTAAAGATAATTTAGCATAATTACCCAAAATTTTAGCCAAGGTCTTTTTTTAATTTTTATAATACAAAATCTAAATAACAAAAACATATCAATATAAAATTAAAAAAATTCTCCACACGGGGAGGATAATATAATGGATAATTATCAATGAAAATCAGAATATATAAAAAAGAATCTTGAGACTAATCATAATTTGCAATCGCGCAGAACAACTTGAAAAAAATTTGAAATCTAAAAATAATTTACAGACTAGTTATTATAATTTTATTAAAGATAATATAGCATAAATACTCAATATTTAAGCCGTTATCTGTTATATGTTACTATTATATCTCATCTTTTATTTGATCTTTTCCAAGTCCAAATTAATTGCGGATATATCGCCTATTTCCCCTTTCCATATATATTTAGTAACGTAGAGTACACCTAGAGGCTTCAAAATTTGGATCTCTGTGACTCTGAGCTTCAGAGTTCTATTATATTTGTGAGTTTATACGCCTGAATTTATACTATTGGATTCTTATTCTTTTTCAGATCTTCTTCGTTTTTCTTGAATGTTTCAGATTAAACCCTAATAAAGATGGCTAGAGATCAATTGAAGGTTCTTCAAGCTCTTGACGCTGCAAAAACACAATGGTATCACTTCACGACGATAGTGATCGCCGGAATGGGTTTCTTCACTGATTCTTACGATCTCTTCTGTATCTCACTTGTCACGAAACTACTTGGCCGGATTTATTACTTCAAAGAAGGCTCTCCTGAACCCGGTTCACTTCCTTCCAACGTCTCCGCCGCCATTACCGGCGTCGCCTTCTGCGGAACCCTACTCGGTCAGCTGTTCTTCGGGTGGCTCGGAGACAGGCTGGGAAGAAAACGCGTCTATGGTATAACCCTAATGCTCATGGTGGTTTGTTCTATAGGTTCTGGTCTTTCTCTTGGATCGAACCCTAAAGCCGTTATGGCCACTCTTTGCTTCTTCCGGTTCTGGCTCGGCGTCGGCATCGGTGGCGACTACCCTCTCTCCGCCACCATCATGTCGGAGTATTCCAGTAAGAAGACACGTGGGGCATTCATCGCCGCCGTTTTCGCCATGCAAGGGTTTGGGATTCTCGCCGGCGGCACCGTCGCGATCATCGTCTCTGCAATTTTTAAAGCTCACTTTCCTGCACCTTCGTATCAGACGAATCCAGCTTTATCTACAATTCCAGAATTCGATTATGTCTGGAGATTCATTCTCATGTTCGGTGCTGTCCCGGCGATTTTAACTTATTATTGGCGTATGAAGATGCCTGAAACTGCCAGATACACTGCCTTGGTCGCTAAGAACACGAAGCAAGCAGCTTCTGATATGTCCAAAGTGCTTCAGGTTGAGATCGAAGCAGAAACTGACCAGAAAATTACGAAGAGTGGTAATAGTGATAACCAGTTTGGGTTATTCTCGAAGCAGTTTCTAATTCGTCATGGGCTTCACTTGCTCGGAACCACCACGACGTGGTTTTTTCTAGACATTGCGTTTTACAGTCAGAATCTCTTTCAGAAAGACATATTCAGTGCGATCGGGTGGATTGCAGATGCGAAGACGATGAGCGCCATTGAAGAGGTCTTCAAGATCGCCAGAGCTCAGACCCTCATAGCCATTTGCAGCACCGTGCCGGGTTACTGGGTCACGGTGGCTCTGATTGATAGGATAGGAAGGTTTAAGATTCAGATCATCGGCTTCACCTTTATGACAGTGTTCATGTTTGCACTGGCGGTTCCGTACGATCACTGGACAGTGAAGGGAAACCAGATAGGGTTCGTGGTGATGTACTCTCTCACCTTCTTTTTCTGCAACTTCGGGCCTAACTCAACGACATTCATCGTCCCGGCGGAGATATTTCCGGCGAGGCTGAGGTCAACGTGCCATGGAATATCAGCAGCAGCAGGTAAAGCAGGAGCGATAGTGGGATCGTTTGGGTTTCTGTATGCTTCGAACACCATTGGGGTGAGGAATGCTCTGATAATTCTGGGTGTGATTAACTTGTTGGGGTTGATGTTCACGTTTCTGGTGCCGGAGACGAAGGGGAAATCGCTGGAGGAGATTTCCGGTGAAGGTGGTGAAGAAGAAGAAGATGATGAAGCAGAGACTAGCAATGATGTTCCTAACAGAGACTGTAGGATTGAAAATATTGCTTAGCTTTGTGTGTGAGAGATTAATTTGTAAGGTGAAAATTCTTCTGAAAATAGGCATAATTTTGTGAAGGTAACGAGAAGAACTAAGTGACAGAGAACTTGGGCCAAAGTATCTTTCATTTGATGGATATCATCTAAATTATTTAAATTGTGTTTTGTTTCACTTGAAAATTACTAACTATAGTTAATTTTAGTGATTTTCTTTTTCTTTTTCTTTTTTTAAAATTTTGATGGTTTTTATATTGTGAAATCAAATGCGCACTTGGTTGATATACTTCTTCCACCTCAATTTAGTTGTTATAAGTTTTTCCCTTTTTTATTTTGTTTCAAAACTTTTGTTGTTTTAGAACCTATATAGCTTCTTCTATTAAAATGGAAAAGTCAATTATTATGCATAGTATCTGACCCCTTACATATGTAGGTCCACGAAATACAACCTACATATGTAAGATTATATTAATACCAACAACAGAAGAAGCTAGTGTTTCACAAGGCATAGCCAATTAAAATTTGAATCCCTATTTTATGGTGCTCATATTTAGTGCTTGGGATCAAAATTGTCTTAAATAGAAGGATATCTATAAGTACCAAATTAAAAAGAAATTATATTAATGATACTTAATTTTATATTGTACACTCTCCTTCAAGTTGGCCCCTATACAAATTTAGACAGCCCAAACTGCTCAACAAATCTTCATGACCTTCTTTTTCCTAAGGCTCTTGTAAAAAATATCAGCCAATTGCTCTTCTGATTTTACGTGATGTAAATCTATAAGACCTTCTTGCAACTTCTTCCTAACAAAGCGGCAATTAATCTCGGTATGTTCAGTCTGCTCATTAGTACCTAAGGTTGGATCTATCAGACGAGTTATTTAAACCCGTCTTTTAAAAGTTCGGGCTTTGAAAATTGGAATATTTATATAAAAGAATTTTTGAGCCAAACTTTTTTAAGCCTTAAAAGAAGGACTTAGATTCAATCTACCTGTTTAAGTTTATATTTACTTTAATCCTAAAAATTATATTATTTTATATATTTAAATTAAATTTAAACTTTAAAATATATATTTATATTATTTATTTTAAATTTTAGAACATTTTAATTTGTACTTTAGAATATAAGTATATAACATAATGAGGACACATTTAATTTTACAAAATAAAAAGTAAATTTAAAAATAAAAAAGGCTTTAATTTCATGTCAAATCTAATCCTGATCAAGACAGCTTTCCTTTTAATTTTAATTTTAATTCCTTGGCCGAGCCACCTGTAACACCCTCAAATTTACAAACCGATTTTTCACAAATTATTAAAACCATTATCATGGTAGAAAAATTTCTACCATGATACATCCAAGACAATATACCACAGGTCTTAAAATATCTCAAAAAAGCAATTAGAACCATGAGGGACAGTCAGGATCCTCATGGCATGATATTTAAATTAGGTCATGAATTAAGAGAGACAAACATAATCCTCTTAGTCAAATAAATGCATTTAATAAAAAGGATTAGAGTTTACATGCTCCATAAAGAAGATATATCCTAAGTTGGCACAAGATACATTGTATAATCCAAAATAAGAGGCAACGTAAAAGATGGTGTCTCATACACCATAATTACACCTCTGGTGCTTTCTCGGCCGGACTCGCTCCTGTAAAAATATTAACCACGGGGAATGAGACTTAAAAGTCCCAGTAACCAAAAATTAATATGTAATGATGCATGCGGATGTAACTAATCATGCGATTGCTAAGTGGGCACACAAAACATTTAATCGAACAATATTTTCAAATAAACCGAACAAGTATTTAATTGCATGACTGCACCTTATATCCTCCTTTCACCATGCTCGGACGCCAAATCACCCGGCCAAAGGTGAGTTGGACCAAGCGACACGCCACTCATTGGGTCCAATGAGGGCTTACCACGTGGTAATAATTAACCGAACAGAAATTCCCATTAACACCATACATTAAAATACCCTGACAAGTCATGCATCATTCAAATATCCAAACAGGAATATATCCGAACAATAATATCTCATCATGATAAACAAAGATAAATTTTTAACCCACTTGGCAATAATTTCAAACAAGTATATACAGTATTTATTTTCAATAATTCATAATTTTTTCAAACAACAAAACAACACATAACCATTCACAAACACACCCATCACAACACATTAATAATGGTTACCTTGTGTCTTGAATAACAAGTTCCCCTTCACAACTCCTTTTTCACCACTATCTTTGTCAATATAATCTACATAATTATTTCACAATACTATATATTAATTTTACATTAAAATAAATAACTCTAATTTAAAGAGTTAGAAAGTCTTAGATCTATAGTCCATATTAACACTAATTTAAGATTTATGCCTCATTTAACTTTCCAAATTCTTTTCTAAAATTCTCGTACCCTAATGAACTATTTTTTTTATCCTCAATTCACTTCTAGTATCACAATTTCATCCTTCTATATTCTAAAAATTCATCCAAAAATAAATTAAATTTTTAGAATTATCCTGAAGCCTCAAATCACCTTTCTATAACCTCAAAAATACCTATTCATACTTAGATAAATATTTAATAATCATAGGTTTATCCCTACGTCTCAGATTCCACATAAATTCAACCATATAGATCTAGATTTTAACTCAAAAATTCTTAAACATGAGTTTCAACCTTAAAAAATATTCTATAATATTTTTTATATCCCTAAGAATTTTAACCTATATTTTTAATCCATCATATCATCAGATTAACTATCCTATAGAAAAATCCTAATCAAAATATTTACTCTATCCTACAAAATAATCATATCACTAGAAAGCTAATATTATTTAGAAAATAACTATAAAATTAATTTTGTAATTAAATAAATTTTTAAATGCTAATCTAAACAGGAAAGTTAGAACATACCTGAAGAAAAAGAAAATAATCCCCCCTTGCGAGAAAACGCTGAGCAACGTGAGAGGAAGAGAGAAAAATAATATAAAAATGGGATTGTGAGTCCCAAAATTATATTAAAAAAAACTATAGGTTTGAATTTAATTATTCAAACCTTTGGGCCAAAAGTTGTAATTTTCTCTAAATTGCATCTTAGCCTCTCATGCTTCCTAATGCACACACCCCCTCCTTTTTATACATGAAGGCACCTCTTCTCTTCCTTCATCTAACCAATGTAGGACTTAGAAACAACAACCTTCCACCCCCTTTTTTTTTGTTCCTTCTACCTTCTCTTTTTTTTAACACATACATAAAAAAAAAATTATTTATATATTATATCTTAACTAAATATTTCTTATGTGATTTTAAATTTAAATTTTTAAATTCATAATTAAATACCTAACCATAATATTATTTCTAAATAATCTCAAATAATATAAATTCCTATTATTATCATTTTTTTCTCAAAACTTAAATTCCACAATTTTTTTATTATATAAAAAATCAGGATGTTACACCGTCAATGTCCTCACTGCATATTTGGATCAAAGCTATGTCGACGTCCAATTGGTATGATTTTTATAGCATTGATTTTCGAGTGTTTTATTTTTAAGTTTTACAAGTTTTGATGTGAGAGAGAGAGAGAGAAAGAGTTGGACAAAAATATTCAACCATCAATGTCTTTATAATTAGAGCGAATATTAAATTAAAAAAAAGTTAATGATTCATGATTTACGTTATCAAATTCAATTGAACTAATAATTAAATTAATGATGTAATAATTAAATAAAAATAATATTAAATATATATATATATATATAACAAATACAAGAAAAAAAATTTATAAATTTATAACATGACTATAAATTAATAATATTATAAATTATAATTTTATAATTTATTAAATATAGGTAAATCTTGATTAAATTTGATAAGAATAGACTCAAAAGTATCTATATTTACATATAAATTATCTAAAAATAAAGTTAATTTTTAATAGGATCTAATTTTTATTTTTTTAATTTTTTAAAAAAAATTTAAGTTTTTTAATATTATGTTTAAAACTATATATTTTTTTAAATCGCTTCAGTTTATGGTTCAATTTTATTTTTGACTCAACAATGACTCAACTCTGGTTCAACTTGGCTCAATTATAAAAATATTTTTCGTCTAAATTGAGCCGTTAATGACTCTAATCGACAATTCAACTAATTTGGTCTAGTTTTTAAATCATTGATTCAAGTGATCTGACACTTATTCTTTTAATTAAAGTTCTGCGTGAATGAAAAAAAAAATATTGTGATAACTCTACGCTCATATATATGTTTTAATCAAACTTGATTTTTATTTTATTATAAGGCCATAAAAAAAACCGTGGAAGGGAAGATAAATCATGTCATGTTAAAGTATAGAAGATTTTTGCACCCTTGAGACGGAATATAAAAAAAAAAAAATTAACATCTAAATTATTATTAAAAATTTGATATACCAACCCATCAACATATTGATTAACTTGGCTAACCAATACTTAAAGTTCAATAGCTTTGATAACAACTCAGTAGTTAGTATATCCAAAAAGGGAAGAAACCCTTTATAGGTATATTTTCCCTTTTCAATTTAGTTTCTTGAAAAAATTTAAAAACTTCGCAATAGTTGACTTTGGAAATTGGCCTCTTTCAAGAAGAGAGCAATGCAATGCGATTGGAGAGAGTTTTTTAGAGGTTGTTTGATTTTTGTTTAAAAAAATTATTTTGTAATACAGCTTTCATAATTATTTCCAAAACAAAAAAAATGAAATTTGTTTGGTTATATTAAATTTAAAACAGTTTTAGAATTTAAAAGGGGAAAATGAAAATCAAGTCCCAAAAGGAGTAATTAAATCCAATTAGGTTTCAAGTAATTTTAAAAGGCCAATAAAATTTTATGCTTTTTTTTTCACAAATCAAAGTTATAATAGAAATGACTAAAATATCCCTATGATTAAATATCAGCTCCAACATGTAAGTGGTAGAGAGACAAGTTAAAGAATACTCATTTCTAAAACAAAGTTAGGTTTGGAAGAGATGGAGTTGCCTTAATTATTGACTCAAGTAAGCTCTTATTTTCTGCTTATGTGAGTTTGTTTGGCTGGTG